GCCGGAGTCCCGGGCCCCGCGGCGGCGGCAGCGGCGGCGGCGGCGGCAGGATGATCAAGCTGTTCTCGCTGAAGCAGCAGAAGAAGGAGGAGGAGTCGGCGGGCGGCACCAAGGGCAGCAGCAAGAAGGCGTCGGCGGCGCAGCTGCGGATCCAGAAGGGTAGGAGAGTGAGGATTGAGCCCTGGGGATGGGAGGTCGGAGGTCAGGACCTGGGGCGAGGCGTCAGGGGCGGGGTAATGCTGTCGCTGGGGGTCAGAGGTCACGGGTGGGGGGCGAGGCGGTGGCGAGGCAGGCAGGGACTGGGGGCGTGGGTGGGGCATGCGTGGTTATCAAAAGGGCCAGGTGTCTAGGATGCGGGACCTGGGAAGCTGAGGGCGTTCACAGGGCTGGGCTCCTTGGATCCAGGATTCTGGATGACAAGTGGATGAGAGGAGGGGAGTGGAGACTTGGGATTGGGAGAAAGAGGAAGCAGGGAATCAGTGCCCCCTGGACTGAAGAGCTCCCGGTTTAAGGTGGTCCTACCTAGGCTGCTGGGGCCCATGGATGTGGGGAGCCAGCGAGTGTGCTCTTGGAGGAGGCAGCACCTGGGAGCCGGTTTGGAGGAGGGTGCACATTCTGTATATGCCGTGGATCCCAGAGATCCCGTTTCGAGGGTGCGAAGGCTCCCCAGGGAAAGGGTTGCAGCTGGTCTCGCATCTCTGCTGCTGCCTGCCCTGAGCACCTTCTCCTCTCTGCCTCCTTCCCTGCCAATCAACAACCTCCTTCCCTAACCAGACATTAACGAGCTCAACCTGCCCAAGACCTGTGATATCAACTTCTCAGACCCAGACGACCTCCTCAACTTCAAGCTGGTCATCTGTCCTGATGAGGTGAGAGACAGTACTGATTTGGGTGCCTTGCACAAACCATATGGCCAAGTCACAGAAAAGAAGACCCAATGTGCCTGCCAGACCCAGGCAGGATTTGGCCCTAACATCTTCCTCTTTTCTATCCCCACTTCTGAACAGGGCTTCTACAAAAGTGGGAAATTTGTGTTCAGTTTTAAGGTGAGTTCCAGGCAGGCAGGGACAGCAGCTCCCTGGGCTGAGAAGGAGGTCACTGAGGTACACCTTTTTTTTTTTTTCTCTCTCCTGCCAAGGTGGGTCAGGGTTACCCCCATGACCCCCCCAAGGTGAAGTGTGAAACAATGGTTTATCACCCCAACATCGACCTCGAGGGCAATGTCTGCCTCAACATCCTCAGGTGAGTTGCTAACTCTACTACCCTACTCACCTCCTGACCTTCCTCAGGGGCTCTAAGCCTGTCTCTGCTCATTTTCTCTCACTATAGTTTGTGTTTTTCTATTCCTTCCATCTCTTCGTCTTCTTCCTCATAATACTAATTACCCCACCCCCCCCTTGGCTTCTCCTTTGCACACTTCCCCCAAGCCTCACATCCCCACTACCCCATGCTCTGTGCCTGACCCGTAAAGTCCCTGCAGGAAACAGAGCACACCTGCTCTGGAGTCCTTGACTCTTAATTCTCTGTCCACAGAGAGGACTGGAAGCCAGTCCTTACGATAAACTCCATAATTTATGGCCTGCAGTATCTTTTCTTGGTGAGTAGGGGCAGGTGAGGCCTGGGGCAGTGGGAGGCCAGCCCAGCCCCTCTGCCCCATCAGCCTGTTGACCCATGTTTTGCTGACTGAAGGAGCCCAACCCCGAGGACCCACTGAACAAGGAGGCCGCTGAGGTCCTGCAGAACAACCGACGGCTGTTTGAACAGAACGTGCAGCGATCCATGCGGGGTGGCTACATCGGCTCCACCTACTTTGAGCGCTGCCTGAAATAGGGTTGCTGCTCACCCCACCCCTGCCAGGGCCACTAGCCCCGGTGTCCCCTGCAAATATTTATTGGGGGTCATAGGTGGGGGATGTGGGGCAGCCGGTGGGGGTTGTCCCCTGCCCTGGCCTTGCCTCCCCTCCCTGCCACCTGCCCCTTATTATTTTTTTTTTAAACCACCATGTGATTAAGGTCAGCGCTGCCTCTCCTGACCCACTCAGCAATGGGAAATGAATTGGCTTGTCTAGCCCCCTGCTGGGTGCTATCCAACCCCCCCCACTCTAAGCATTGGGGTGGTTTGGCAAGAGGCTTGTGTAGCTGGGGCCTTGGCATCCTACCCATCAGCTACCAGAGGTCCCACCAGGCAATTAAAGGGGAACGTTACTGCATGGCCTCTGTATCTTCTTTGTTTCCTGGGGAGGGTAGAGGAGGGGGAAATGAGGTCCATCTTGGGTCTCTGTGGGTGGGCCTTTGGCTCAGCAGGAGCTGAGATGGCATTGGGAAACCCCAAGCAAGCCTCCCCATGTCCGGGGAAGCAGGGCCGAAGCTTGTGATGGGATGAATAAAAGACCAGAACTGGTGGTCACCTTGTAACCATGAGAGCATGGGGGACGAGCTTTGACAGCCCTAGTTCTGCCCTTAAGACCTTGGGTGACCAGGTAGTGGAAGCCCTAGCCTTCAGCCACCTTTGCGGGACACATCGGGCATGACACAGTGGACCCCTGAGTTAGGTCTTGGTGCTGGTCTCCTGGGTGTGGACCCTCGTGCTGGCTGCCTCGTAGAGGAGTCTGAGCTTGCAGGGATATGAAGAAGTCTAGCATGGAATGCGGAGGCTCGGGGTGGCCAGGCGGAAGGTGCCCAAAGGAATCACACACCCACAATGATGAAGGTCGCCAGACATGATTAGGTAGCTCAGGAGAATCCGGATGCGGGAACCGAACCTGCAGAACAGCTTCATGCAGGCTGCGGGAGCCAGTATGCGCAGGCGCGCCCCTAGCCACACGGGCGTGAGTGCGCAGGCGCGTCCAACCGCTTCCCAGCATTCCAGGCACGGGCGGGACGCGTGACGTCAGGTCGTTTAATCCGGAAACGGCGGCGGCGGCAGAAGCGATAGACAGAGGGGCTGTTGTTGGCGGGTGCTCCAGAGCCCGAGCGAGTGGAGCGTGACCCGGAAGCGGAAGCAGGTCCTGCCAGCTCCGGTGAGTGGTCCCCGTAGGACCGCGGGTCTCGGGCGGGGGGCACGGACGCGTCTTTCGGGGCTCTTGTCTTCGCCGGGCACCCAGCCCTCCGCCTCTCGGGATCCTGGTCCTCGGATCGGGGGGCTCCCCCCGATGCCCCACCCCGTCCCTCGTTCCGCGCGTGCGTAGTGTCCGGGGTGCGCTGCAGCCCCCATCACTTTGCTCTTGCTGTCCTGAAAACCCTAGTGCAGACCCCAACTCCTGCCGTCGGGGCACGTTCTCAGTACACGTGCCTGGTGCGATTTGCCCGGTTTTCCTCCCCCTGGTGCTGCCAGTTGGTTCACACCACCTAGGCTGGTGGCCCAGTGCTTGACATTGTGCCACGCGGCCCTTTCCACACTGTCCCATCCGTGCCCCCAATCTTCATGCTAGCCAGAGCCTGTCCTCAGAACACCCACACCTGTCATGGCCTCGTGCCCGGGCCCCAAACTCCCCAGTCGCTCTCAGACATCAGAATTTCACCCTGGGCGGCCAGGAGGACCACTGAAGCCCTAGGTCTTGTCTCCTAGCCCCTGTGGGCACAGTGATGGGGAGGAACTGGGTATGAGGGCCTGGGGATAGGCTGGCTGGTACCCATCTCCACGCCCCACGTCGCCCCCACCTTCACAGCAGTCTTTTGGCCACCTGTTCCCTGGTCTTCCCACGTGTTCTCACTTTGCAAGCCCTTCCTGATCCCAGTCCTGCTTCTTGCCCTGTGTTCGGGCTCTGTGCCCTGCCGCTAGGCCTCTCACTAGACCCCTGGCCTGCAGGCGGGTCCCTTCCGCCATGGACCTGTTGTTTGGGCGTCGAAAGACTCCAGAGGAGCTGTTGCGACAGAACCAGAGGGCCCTGAACCGGGCCATGCGAGAGCTGGACCGAGAGCGACAGAAATTGGAAACCCAGGAAAAGAAAATCATTGCTGACATTAAAAAGATGGCCAAACAGGGCCAGATGGTGAGTGCAGAGGGGCAGGGACCAGACGAGACAACACTCCACAGTTGGGGACTGCAATCACGTTATCTGGTAGATTGCAAGTACATGCTGCAGCAAACAGGTGACCAGAGTGGACTGAAGTGTGAGCAGGGCTTCCCTAGCTTGAGGTGAGAACCAAGGCTTAGGTGATCAAGATCTGCTGGGCAAGAAGATTAGTTCCAATAGATTAAAGTGCACGTATTACATGAGCAAGCCTCTGGGACATGGGGGGCAATGAGTGGGCTGAGGATCAGGGCAGTTAGACTTCTTGGGACATTAAGACCAGACTGGGAGCAGAACCCAGCTACAAGTCAAAAAGAGGACATGTGTGGCCTGATTTGACCCGATCAGTAAGTAAGAGATGACCTAGACTGGTGACAGGTCGTGGAGAGGGGCAGTGGAAAGTGAGACAGGTCACTTTACTGTGGGACATGAGAATAGGTGGATGACAGGTTTGGGCCCGATGACACAAGCCACGGATTAGCAAGGAAGGAGAAAGGTTTGGGGTGGGCGGACAAGTGAAAACCTGAGATTGTAATAGGTTGGTTTGAGATTCTGGATAGAGCCTGCAGTAGAGAGGTGAATTTTTTGTCAAAACTCGTGTGCTTCAAGTTAGGGTTGTGACTGCAGATGTAGAAGGGAGAGGGTGGAGCCTCTGCCCCTCCCTGTTGAAGGTGAGCAGTTGACACGTTAGCCTTGCAGAGTTCTTTGGAGACAGTAGGAGTGGGTGGTAGGGAGCTCCACCAACACCATCAGATAATTCTCCAAGAGTAGAAAAGTGCCCAGAATCCCCATCCCACTCTCTCATCCCCCTTGCAGGATGCTGTCCGCATCATGGCCAAGGACTTGGTGCGTACCCGACGCTACGTGCGCAAATTTGTGCTGATGCGAGCCAACATCCAGGCTGTGTCTCTCAAAATCCAGACGCTCAAGTCCAACAACTCAATGGCACAAGCCATGAAGGGCGTCACCAAGGCCATGGGCACCATGAACAGACAGGTCTGCTTCCACCCTTTCCTCTTCCTGCCTTCGGGGCTCGGAAACCCCCAGGCTCACACTCCCTCCTCCATCTCCAGCTGAAGCTTCCCCAGATCCAGAAGATCATGATGGAGTTTGAGCGGCAGGCAGAAATCATGGACATGAAGGAGGAGATGATGAACGATGCTATTGATGATGCCATGGGAGATGAGGATGATGAGGAAGAGAGGTGCGGAGGCCGTGGGGGAGTAAGGCAGCACTACCTGCCCTCGTGAGTGCCTTACCTTGTTTCTTCTCTCCTTTAGTGATGCTGTAGTGTCCCAGGTCCTGGATGAGTTGGGACTGAGCCTGACAGACGAGCTGTCCAGTGAGTACTCAAACCAAAGGCTATCGCCCCCAGAAGCCAGCCCCAGTCCTGCCTTCACACATGCCTGTTCCCTCCTAGGTGGCATGGCACCAATGTGCCCCCCTTCTTTACAGATCTCCCCTCTACTGGAGGCTCGCTCAGTGTAGCTGCTGGGGGGAAGAAAGCAGAGGCTGCAGCCTCAGCCTCAGCCCTGGCCGATGCAGATGCAGACCTAGAGGAGCGTCTCAAGAACCTGCGGAGGGACTGACCAACCCCACCCTGCTGCCATCGGAGCTCATGGATGCTCCTGGAATAAAAAGTGGACACTACTCCTGGGATTGACTGCTTGACTGCACAGGGGAGCTGGGTCCCTTAGATTAAGCACTTTATTCCATTAAGGTGGTGACACAAGATCCACTACAGGCCTGGGATTGACCCACTATGACAAGGGTCCCATGGCCCAGCCAACCTGCATTCCCAACCTTCCCACCCTCCCAGGCTAGGGTCAGAGAGCACCAGGGCTCTGCCAGCGTGCTACTCACTCCTCGCATGTCTTAGATCGACTGCAGCCAGCACCTCCGTGGAAGCAAAGATAGCAAACCTTTGGGCATGCAGTGGTGTGGCCAGTCCTTACAGAAGGGTACCTTGCTTGGAAAGCTAGAAAGACCCTCAATGACATAAAGTGACTTCTTGACATTAATCATGATCTTGTGTGGCAGACTGGGAGCCACTGTTCCTAGGTCAACTTGACACAAATGACTCCCAGACTCACCAACGGCAGGGTCCAAGGAACGTGAAGTTTTTATTAAATCCACAGAAGTAAAAACCATATTGTGAGGGGACAGGGCCACCAGGGAGTGGGAGCCAGGCCACCAGAAGGCAGGGGAAAGGGAGAGGACAAAGAAGAGCCAGGCCACGCTGGCCACAGGGGCTGGGGCCATAGCCTCAGAGACCATCACTGGGTCCTCCAGACAGCTCTGCAGCCCCCAGACCAGCACCAGGCAGGCTTAGTGGTGGGGGCTCAACTAACACAGCTGAGAACTTGGTGTCACCAAAAGCTTCATTCATACGCGTCTCAAAAAAGCGCTGCAGACCGATGATGGACTGAACATCGGCCTTGTCCTAGGCACAAGCAGAAAAAGAGTTCATCTATGCCTGGCCCCAGCCCTCCAACCCAGTACTGCCTCTCTCCTCCAACTCACCTCTGTCAGCTTGTTGAACTGTTTAAACATGCGGCCCACATCTTGGGCAAACTCCTGAGGGGAGCTATAAGGAGGTGACAGCTTCTCTTGGAGCCTGGCACGGATTAGCGTCAGGTCCAGGGTGCCACCAGGCTGGTCCTGCAAGAAATGGTATTTCAGCTTAACTATCAGGTCAGCAGACACACCCCACCCCCGTCTCCCCTTCTTGAGGACTCACCAGGGAGAAGGTACAGTCAGTAGCCAGCTGATGCAGGGGACGACATGGCTCATGGCAGAAGAGGGCCAGCAGAACACGCTCACACTTCTAAACACCACAGCACAATGAGAGCTGTCCCTGAGGTGCTGCCCCCCCCCTTCCACCCCCGCAAAACCCTCTGGCCCTCACCCGCTGGTTGACTGGGGAGAGCTTGGCCACCACACCAGTGGTGTCAGCTCCATCCAGGTTGAGGCTCCCATCCTCCTCCTTCAAATCAGGGAGCACATGGCAGAGGGAGCAGCTCCATTCTTCCCTGGAGAGCAGAGGAAGTGAGGGGTCTGCCTAAGACCCCCATTTGCCACCCGGTCTCCCCTCCCACAGCAGCTACAAACCCTGGCACATCCTGCAGAGCTGGCAGGTGGCAGTCTAGGTGGAAGCAGAATTCGCACTGGTTGCACATGACCAGGTCACCTGGCTTCTGGCAGACCCGACAGATGGTGGCACTGTCATCCAGGGCACCAGGGCCACCAGCCGGGGCCGAGGCACCTTCAGGGGCCACCACCTCCAGTCCTGAACTGGTGCTACCACTGGGAGAGGCCAGGCGTGGGCCCTCTACACCAGGACCCTCTGCCATGGCCATAAGCACAGGCTTGGTCTCCGGGCCTTCAGCAGCAGCAGGTGGGGCTCCAATGGCCGCCTCTGTCTCTTCCTCCTGTAAGGAGGCCCAAGGGGTGGTCAGGTGAGACCTACTGGTCTGTAGCTTCCCAGGATCACTGGGTCACAGGGCACTCACCTTGACAATGGCCATGCCAGGTAAGGGTGGGGCTCCAGGGGCCCCAGGAGGAACAGTCCCAGGCTGGCCCGCTGCCGCAGCGGCACCACCCCGTTCAATGACTATGAGATTGTAGTCCTCTGTAGTGTTGCCTGGGAACACCTTGAAGACGGGTGGCTGACTGTCGGCCGTGAGGTCCAGGTCCAAGCGCTCAAGACTCACCCGTGGCACCTTACGCATAAGGCCACTCACTTCACCCTCACCAGAACGGGATCTGTGGGAGGTGGTTATCTTACCATCACAGTGGACCCTGACCTAGCCAGTCCCTAACCATCCCGTCCCCCAGACCCCATGCTCACCGCTTCACACCCGACACGTGAGGCTCTGCACTTGAGTAGGGATCATCTGGTCAGAAGGGGGAGATGTGAGGTTGGGTGGGAATAGTGCCAGTTCCTCCCCCAACCCTCAGCAGCACCAGGGACACTCACTCACCTGAACCAAAGCCATAGCCTTCCTGCACCTCCATTGGCTACGGGCAGAGACAAGACTTCAGGTGAGTGACTCCCCTGAGGCCATGGACCCACACTCCTTCCCTCCCCACCACTTTTTTCTCACACTCCCTCACCTGGCTGCTGGCAGAGCCCTGCTTGCTCAACGGGCCAGGTGCCCGTGGGGGGGCCATGGGTGTGGGCCCTGTGGAGTTGGTGCCTGGACGCTCGGCCACAATCTTGCCTTTAGGAAAGAAACGGTAAGCAAGGGCAGCAGTGTCCTGGGTGGAGATCAAGCAAAGACAAGCAGGAGGCGGGACCCACCAAAGGCCTCTGCACTCTTGGTCCAAGCGTTGAGGTCCCACTGGAACTTCATCTCGCCATGTGGCTCAACAGGGTCCACGATCATCTTGAGGGCCCGGTGCAACTGGAAGTAGATCTGAGCAGACAGATGACCAGGAGGTGAGTGTTCTGGGACTGCACCCCAGTGCCTCCCAGGACCACCCACCCACTGGCCCCCACAAAAGCACACCAGCTTCTTGGAGAGCAGCAAGGCCGTGTTGTTGTCGCTCTCCAGGGCCCACGAGGCAAAGCGCAGGATGTGTTCCTGGTGCTTCTGGATCTTGGTCATGGTCCAGTGCTGTCGCTCCAGCCGCTCCTGCTGCCCCTCAGTAACCTTCTATAGTGACAAAACAAAGACAGCAGACTCAGCAAAACCGCAGCAAGCAGCAGCTGGGCCACAGGCCCCCCACACACACACACACACAAGCAGGTGTGGGTACCTGGGCATCGTTGACTAGCACTCGGCCCCGCTTGTTCAGTTCCTTCATGATCTGCAGAATGGCCATCTTGACATCCACCTGCACACGCTTCTGTACATCTGACACTTGACGGATCCTGAAGGCAAGAGCACAGTGGCGGAGGGTGGGTCAGTGTGGACAGGCACGGGCCCAGTACCCCGAGAATCTGGGAACCCCACTTACGAGCTTCGAACCTCCTTGGTGTTCTTCTGCAGTGTTGCGTGCTTGTCTCCAAGGCGCTTCACCAAAGAGGCCAGGAGCTTGCGCTGGTTTCTCACTGCATCCTCCAAAAACTGGTACCTGTTGGACGACAAAGGAGAGCCCAGAACAAGATGTTACGTACAGGAGATGGCCCACTCCACTCACCCTGGGCTGTGTGGGACTCACTGGTGGTCCTTGTGGGCATTGAGCTGGCAATCCCGGCAGGTGAGGGTATCACAGCTTTCACAGAATAGCACGAGAGGCTCGTGCTTGTGCACACTGCAGTACACGGTGCGTTCGCCGTCCCTCGTCTTGGCTGGGCCTATGGAGCAAGGGGGAAATGCTGAGGGCAGGCCTAGGCCACTTTACCTCAGGGGCTATGCAGACCATCCCCCTCAGGCAGGTTTAGAGTTTGGACACAAAGCAATGGGGGCCAGTGAACACAGCTCTGCAACCCTAATCGCTCCTCTCTACTAGCAGGAAGGCAATCAGGAGACAGACTGCACTGGAAAGTCTACAATCACAGACCTCTCCAAATTACATTAGATTTAAGGACTAAGGGGTGCCTCATTCAGGCCATGATCTTTTCAATCACTTGTTATCCAGAGTGCTGGTTGACTTTGGACTGTGGTGTCAGAGTACTGTGCTGGAAGTCCCACAGACTGCCGAAAGCACAGATGTGTTAAGAGACGATGCAGGCAGTGTGTGCTCCTTGAAGGTGAAGAGCAAAGTTTTCCTCTCACATACTTTGTGCATGTTGCTAGAATTTATTCCCTGGAGAGACATCATGCTTGGGACGGTGGAGAGAAGGCAACAGAAAGACCCTCAACCAGGTGCGGTGAACAATGGACTCGAGCGGGTCAGAGACTGTAAGGATGGCACAGGTTTGTAAGGATAACAGGGTTCAGAACTGCTGTTCCCAAGGTTGCTGAGTCATACTCAACAGCACCTAACAATATACCCCAACTGCCTAGACTTTCTCAACCCAGGTACATCTGATAATACAACTGACAGAACACTTCAAATACTCTGCGATCGGCTCCCTAAAAGAACACAGCCAAGTACACATGTGGGGTAGGCCCACCACTGGGGACATCCTTGTTAGGAACCACATTAGAGAAGTAACCAATACGGACCACTTGTGGGAAAATACCTCCTATATCCCATGCTAGTTTCCTGTAGAAGCTGCCTGTTAGACAACACCCACCTAACTACAATGCTTCCTGTTACTGTTCATCCACAGCCCAGACTTACACAGGATTAAATGTCAACACCAAGCCTAAAGATCCCTGAGCTCATTCACCAAGTTTCCGCAGCAACTGTGTGCCCATTATCCTCTCAAACTCACAAGCCAATTACAACCCACCGGCCAAGCAACAGATCTATGTAGGATGCTACCGAAGAGGGAGTAAGAGGCAGCACTGAGATAATCAGACTAGGAACCTACGACAAAAGATGAACCCATCCCCTCTCCCCTCCTTGAGAGTAATTCAAAGTTGGCCTTTCCCTCTCGACCATTAACCAAGCCTTAACTGCTCAGTCTAAAGCAAAGGTGTTGAAACTAGTCTTCAAGCCACCAGCTGCAAGGCCTTGCCCATTCTCCTCTTCTACCTCAAGAGGAATTCTGGGCTAAAAATTAGCTGCTGCATGATGCCACTGAGTGTGACTCACAGCAACTCTCAGAACAACAGATCTGAACACTGTCCTATCCTGTACCATTTCAGATTTGTGACATGTTTAAGCCCACTGCTATTTCACACCCAAGTTTTCAAGTCTTTCTTAGATCTCAAGTACAAAAAGATCTGGGAGGGGGGGAACCCCTAGCTGGACTTAGTAGAATACTGTCGTCCCACATCTACTGTACCTCTGGAAATATACCTTCTAGAGTGTTAGTTCAGTAACTTGCCCTAGACCAAATGTTTCACTCTGGGAGCCTGGCTACAGGAACTACCTCTTTTCTCACCAAAGACTGGACCTGTCCTCATCTAAGCAAGATGTTCTCTCCATGATGGCCCTATACACCACACACTTTGCACCATTCCTTTTCCCTAGACCCCCTTTCTCCAGACCTCTGCAGCACCACTCCGCGGACACAAGGCCACCCAAAAGCTCTCCATTTACATCTCACTACCGTGGAGCACACGTAGGTCTGTTAACTTATTCCAGGAATTTTGCCCTCGGCCAGGATCCATCCTCCTTCTCGAGTGGTCTCAGACTTAAGACCCCTGAGTGGTTCCTTAAGGAGCTCAGAACTGGCCCTTGTATGTGGCAGCGGCTGGGTGTGAGGAAGCCTGTCCTGGGGCACCTCAAGGCCCTAGCCCTCTCCTGGGCCACCTACCAGTGGAGCGCACAGTGTGGTCCTTTGTGTACTTGACACGCTGGTGGGCCTCAACACACGTTTCACACAGCGGTTCCGAGCACTCCACGCAGTAACTTGTGGCGGGTGCGTTGTCCTCACAGCTCGTGCAACACTACAGGGGGAAAGGAAGGTCCAGGTCTACAACAAACAAAACCCGACCCAGAGCACACGCTTCTCCCCAGGCCACAGTGCAAAAAGGGACCTGTCCCGAACAAGGACCTGGTTAGCATCCTGTGCCTAAGGAGCCTGTGCCCACATGAGGACCCCTCTCAGAGCCGTGCACCTGGTTAGCAGCGTGTGCATTAAGGAGGCTGTGCCCACCCGGGGACCCC